TTTTCTACACACTAAAAACATTTACCGTGTTACTGTTTTACTCTCAGTAATTTTAAGAGATCTTCTTCAAAATCTTTTATCGCCTTTCTATAAAACAACAGAAACGTTCGACTGTAACAGCAGCAGCACGTGGCTGGGAAACAATTTCCATGTCCAATTCAAATCATTCACATACTTTAATTCGTTCATGACATACCTTACTTTTTTTTCGTGTTCCCGTCTGTGTCTTTCCCTTTTTTCCTCGAATTCGCGCTTCTCAAGCGCGATTCGGACGGTGTGCCAGAGCGGTAGGAAGGCTCGGGCCGTCTCGCTAGGCTGCGGCACTGCCTTGAGGGCCAACTGCATCAGGCTGTCTGGACTTCTAGGTTGATTTTCCGTTTCTATTCCGTATGGATGCGGGAACCTGCAGGCCATGATAAAACTTTAGGCACAACTTAGTTGATCAAATAGAACTCACTCAAAGCAAAGTCTTCTGCGAAGTGACGCTTCGTTTTAGCTACCTTGCTATACATAAAACACCCCTTTACTCGATCATTGGTTCCTTTCGCTTTCCCTTGGGTTCAACATCTTTCTGATTTGTTCGCCTTGTTCCATGTGCTCCTACCGCACCCTTACCATTTCCATATCGCACATGTAGTCTTTTGTTTTAGACCATTTCGCAATCTTACCCTAAGCACGTTTTCTTCCTAAATTCATGTTTCTACTTTCTACACGCTTGTTTTTTATTTTCGTTTCCTCTTTTTTCTATTTGATTTTTTCTTACCCTGCCTTTTTTCTCTCCTTGCGTTGCTTTTCGGTAGCACATGACCGATGTCACGGCTCCTTCAATTGACTGATTTTGTATATTTAATGATTCACGTTGGTTCATCATTCTTCTCCTTTGTTTGACAGCATTTCGCAATCTTACCCTAGTCGCGAAACTTCCTACATTTATGTTTCTACTCTGTTTTTTATTTTCGTTTCCTGTTTCTTATACATGCTTTCTTATTTCCCTGCCTTTTTTCTCTTGTCCTTCTTTCTAAGCCACAAAACACATTTAGCAAGGACCGTTTTGCCAGCGCTGAATATTCTTTTCGCTTGGAAAACCCTTTGCCAGTTTGATTTTTCCCTTATTAATCCTTCCAGTGTCTAAGGGATTAGTTGGCCATCTTGTTTGACGTCAGTGACTATTACACAACTTTTTTTTGCCTGCACGCAAACAATTTCAGCATGCAAGTTTAAATAAATGAAGAGACATATAAGAGTTTTTTATTTTACACCAACTGTTCCAACAGTGGATGTTTTTGTTTTTTGTTTTTGTTTTTGTTTTTGTTTTTGTTTTTTTTTTCACTTCTAATTGTCAGCAAGAAAGGAAACACACTACTTCGATTGACTGGTCTTTGAATATTTAATTACTTTTCTGCTCCGACGACTTCTACCTGCAGAACCTCCGACGACCCTTCCCGACGACTGCCAACGACTGCCGAAGACTTCCGATGATGTCATTCCTCATTTGCATCATAATGGTTGCTGAATAGACGACCGATGCTGCTATTCGGGTCTTTCCAGTAGAGAAAGTCGGAAAGCAACGGAATTTATTGAAAGCTGGTCCTGTTTTCCTGGTCAGAATGTTCCAAACGTGATTATTTTTCCTCAAAACAATTTTTTATACCAGTTTCAGGTGTTCGCGGCCAATTTTTGTTATATGTACCTCAGTTTGTGGTTTTGTGTCGACTGGATCTTCCTCCGTTGGTTTACCGAAGAGAAGTAAGGGACCTTGTAACTTTTTACAAACTCAAGTGTGGTCACTATAATTGCTCGTTTGACTCCTATTTTCAGTTGTGCTCTAATAAGAGACTAAGGTCATTCTCAAGCAATGAACTCAGATTAAATTTAGTTCAAACCGAACTCTTCAAGAGAACGTTTGTTAATAGAATTCCTTATTTATGGAATAACTTACCTGACAACCTTAGAACTGAAGACCTGAGCTAGTCAGGCTTCAAAAAACATTGCATAGATTTTTAGAAGAATAAGATAAGAGGCTTTGATCCTGCATGATCGCCCACAGAAATGATAACAATCAACAATTTATACGTGTTACTTTTTCTGATAATTTCTTTTTCCTTCTTTTCACAATGTAATCTAATTTTAAATTGGGTGGACTAGCCCGTATGATTCTTCGGTTCCCTTCTAGTCCTTTCCCGTTGCCAACTTGTGTTTGTATATTTATTATATTGTATGCAGTAAAATGGATTAAATTAAAAATTGAATTAAAAAACTAAATCAATTTTTAATCCGTGCTTCTTTTTGTTTCGTTCAAAAACATTTTCCAGGGTAATTTTCCGTATTCTTTTTAGAGCTTTCAATAATGAAATTGTAAACGAAAAGAATTAAACTAAATTTGTTTTTTAATCTTTCACTTTCCACTTCAAATTTCACACAGGCCTTGTATTATCTTAACACAGCTTTGAACAACCCGGCCCAGGGCTCGATCTTGTTACGTCACCGGATAAGAAATATCCGTATTTAGGGTCCACACGATTCTGGATTCACAGCGTATTCAAAAATTTCCACTCTGTAGAGCGGATTCAAAAAGATTCAGTTTCGTAGGTCGGATTCACCGGATATGTGTTGACTGAAGCCGAGTCCGGAAAGAAAAGGTTGCGGATTCAAAAATACCTGGAAACATGTGGACGGGGCCTAAGTGAATGTTTCTGGCCTCACTCTTAAAGGGACAGGTTCACGGTTCAGCACATGCTCATTTATCAAAATGCTGTTTTTCTGCAGCAACACGCTGTATCGTCTATGCAAGCAATGTGATCATGTCATTATGATGTCAAAGAACCAATCTGCACTCTCCCCTCGCAGCCACTTGATCATCTTATGTGCGAATAACTGTAAATTTAACAACCATGGAATAAAGCCTTCGGGTCAACAATAAATTCAAGTTCGTAGTTGGTAGTGTTGGCATAATCCACTTTTTTTTCTGCGATTTTAGTACTCCTCCATCCCACTTTAGGTTACTCTGAAATACACTTCTACTTCAAAATAGACTCCGAGATCGTTGAGATACATGTGAATGGAATTATTAACAGATAGAATTAATAATAAATGGAAAAAAGTAATATAATTAATGAGCATGCACTTAACCCTTAACCTGTCCCTTTAACCTCATTAAGTTTCTTTAAATTATCACATTTACCAGACCCTTATAATTTTTCAGAGTTTTAGACCACTCAGCAATCTGCAGTACATCTCTAAGCTCACCGAAAAGGCTGTGTTCAGTCAAACGCACGAGCACATGGTCGTCAGTGAGATCTATCCTGATCTGCAATCGTCCAATCGTCAACACCACAGCACTGAAACGGCCTTGCTCAAAGTCATGAACGGCTTTCTCTTAAAAATGAACTCGCAGCATGTGACCCTGATTGTTGATCTAAGCGCAGCATTTGACACGCACAGTTGATCATAATTAACATCTCGTTGGAGTGACTGCGCAGGGATGTCGGCATGCGTACGTGGGAAAGCGCTTGACTGGTTCAGCTCATATCTGTCGAATCGGAGCCAGCAAGTCTCCATCGATCGGTCGCCTTCTCGACAGTTCTCACTTGATTGTAGCGTACCTCACGGTTCTTGTCTGGGACCCTTGCTGTTCGCCATTTACACTTCCTCACTGTTTAAGGTTATCGAGCGTCACCTCCTGCAAGTTCACTGTTTCGCGGATGACATGAAGCTGCATGTACCTCAGTTTCACAGCAGATGACGATAACGCCTAAGATGAGGCGCGCGCTATGGAGGAGTGCATGGAGGAGTGCATAGTTACGTGACTTACAGAATTGGCTGCTTGATGGAAGGTTGCTACTAAATGACGATAAATACTGAATTTCTCGTCATCGGCACTAGACAGCAACTCAATAAACTTGAGTCTGCAATTTGGTGATCATGATGTTGATCCTTCGCTGAATGCTTGCAAGTTTGGAGCCATTATTGACAATTCACTGAGTATGAACAATTTTATTAACCAAATATGTAAAGCCTGTTGCTATCATATTCATGTGTCACTGATGTTTTTACCACATTTTGACGTCTTCCGTAATCAATTACTGAACAAGACCCACGGCAACATAAAACTAGCCCTTATGGCAGACATAATGTCATTTATGGCAAGGCATGATACTCACATGATAACTCGCTAGGTCAGGCTGTACCAGGTACTGCAAATCTAGCCAATTAGGTTATAGGGCGGTGTCAGGGTTAAGTAGGTATATCGAGGTATTTTCCCAGTAATTCTTCCTTCTCTTCCTCGTCATCAACTCGGTCGGATCTCGAGCAAAATCTTTTCAGGCAAGTACTTCCTTTGATTATTTTCTCTTTTCCTCATGTCGCCAATCCGTGTTTTAATTCTGGGCCACTCTTTTATTTGCCGTGTGAACGATTTTCTTTTCCGCAATTTTAATGCGCACATTGCGAAAAATTTAAGTCTAGACGGCGATCTGCTCATAAGATGGCATGGGATTGGAGGTAGAACGGTTTCTAAGACTAAGGAGTATGATTTAGGTGTAGTAGAGGAGTTGCTCACAATGTAGTAATCATGCAATTAGGTACGAATGGCCTTACACCATTTCGGCCGTTGAAACTGGCTCGGCAATTGAAGATCTGTGTCGTTTACTTTATGAGTCATATGGAGTGGAATTGATTTGCGTTTGTCAAACCCTTTACAGGCAAGATGCCTCTTCTTTGAACAAACAGGTTGACTTGTTAACGAAGTATCTTAACGTGGTTTTAGAACCCATTCCTTATGTATTTTACTGGCGTCACAGAGGGTTTTGGCGTTATAAATCACGTTTTCTTGCTCGGGATGGTGTTCATTTAAACAAACTGGGACATTATAAATATTTTCGCAGTTTGAGAGGCGCAGTTCTTAGATGTATAGGAATTTTCTCGGGTCGTTGATAGCAGTAATTTTTCCCATGTACTTGCCATTCCCTAATTTTGATATTTGTTGCTCTTTACCAAGCCGAATGTTATGCAGCCTTGCCCTTTGTTCACTTGTTGTTGGAAAGTACTTTCCTACCTATAAGCAGGCTTGCTACTTTGCTCATGCACGGTTTAAATACTGTGTTTATTTTTGCGGCTTTGGTAATGTTATTTTGTGCTTTCGCTTTACCATTTTGAGTGTACAACCACTTTTGACCCTCCTCTTTTTTGGGAGGTGTGTCCAATGCACTCGGTATCAGTGATTATGCACGTTTTTTCATGGAACTTGGCTTTTTTCTATACTGTTACTGCTGTCTTATTTTTTTTTTATTTTTCAATTTCTTTTGTGGCTTCGTTGGGCCTGTTAGGCTATATATATCTTGAACTGCCTCTTCCAATTGCAAGTACTAAGTAATTTTCCAGACAACAATGGCTGTGGATGACGACGTCAATGGCATCACCAATCCTCAGTCAGGTATTGGAGCAGTTGATCCTATTTTAGACTTAGTTAACACAGGTCCGTATGATCAAAGACCACAAGTTCAATTCACAAGTGTTTCTGTCCCTCTCACTTCGAGAGTGAGTTCCAAAATCAAAGCAAAAATTTGGGCAAATGAATATATTAATTTCGGGTCGTTATTGTCCGATTCACCTCAGCAGGAGGGGAAATACTCATTATCTATGTCACCGTCAGTCGCCGGTTCTTCGAGCCAGCCTCAACTGACGCGTCAACCCTGTCACGTTTCTAAGAAAATAACACATTTCACAGTGGCTCTCTGCGTTTAATATTGTCGTTTCTGTTTACGCGGAAAGATTTAACAATTACACTCCTCAGTTAATGAAATATTGCGAGGTGGTCCGGGATCTGGCTACAAAGAGGGGAGATTAGCATTGGTATGATGAACAATTTCGTTACGTAAGACAATCGGCACCAGAGCAGTATCCATGGGATAGGATGCATACACCGCAACCGCCTACCAACAAACCACGTTTTCATTCTCAATTCTTTCTGAAAGGGACCTGCTGGGCCTTTCAAGCAGGGAATCACTGTTCCGGATGCAAATTCGAACATGTGTGTTTTAAATGTGGTGTAAAACACCCGGGCGGCCAAAGCTCAGCTTCGGCGCCAAAAAGTGGATTCACTTTAGTTCAAAAGGCAAACGAGATAGTACATCGGGTTCTCCACAGCAAGCCAGTCACGCCGGTAAGAGTGGATCGGCTTGATTCTTTGCTGCATGGTTATGACACATTTTTAAAACAATTTCTTGTTGACGGGTTTCGTTTTGTTTTTCGTATTCATTTTGTTGGTGAGCGGTGTTCGTCTGAATCTCCTAATCTTAAAAGCGCTCTGGATCAGCCAGTGGTAACGCATGTTAAGTTACGCAAGGAATGTGATGGAGGGAGAATTGCTGGTCCTTTCACAGCTCCCCCCTTTCCAAATTTTCGTTGCTCTCCACTGGGCGTTGTTCCCAAAAAGGATCCATCTGAATTTCGATTAATACACCATTCATCTTACCCCAAGAGATCTTCTGTAAATGACTTTATCCCTGATTATTGTTCTACCGTGAAATACGCATCGGTCGGGGTTGCGGTGAAGTTACTCAAGCGGTTAGGAAAGGGTTGTTTTATGGCCAAAACCGACGTGAAATCTGCTTTCCGTATAATTCCTATTTACCCTGCTGACTATTCCTTGCTTGGTTTGAAATGGGACAACATGTACTATTTTGATAGGTGTCTCGCGATGGGGCTTTCCAGTTCCTGTGCGATTTTTGAAGCATTTAGTACGGCACTTGAGTGGTTGTCCATCAATCATCTTGGTGCTTGCGCAGTATTACATATTTTAGACGATTTTTTGTTCATAGCCCAAAGCAAAGGACAATGTGAACACGACTTAGATAATTTTATTTTGATGTGTAATTATCTTGGCGTTCCATTTGCTGGAATTACGCTTGATTCTGCACGCCAAGAGGCGCGCCTACCAGAAGACAAACTTCCCAAATGTCGTGCGATGTTACAAAATTTCCAGGCCCGACGCTCCGTCTGCCGAAAGGAACTCCAATCACTGATAGGTTTATTGAATTTTACATGCCTCGTGGTTGTCCCGGGTCGAGCTTTTCTGCGTCGCATGATAGATCTTACCAAAGGCGTCAACAAGCCTTATCATCACATTCGTCTTTCGCGAGGCGCTAAATTAGATATCATGCTTTGGCTCCGTTTTCTTGACGATTTTAACGGGCGATCGTTTTTCTTAAGTGACGTTTGGGAAACATCCCAGAGTCTTCAGCTTTATACCGATGCAGCGGGTTCTATAGGTTTTGGTGCGGTCTTTGATCGCCATTGGCTTCACGGAACTTGACCGAACCACTGGAAATCTTATAACATCGCGCTTTTGGAGCTTTTTCCCATTGTCATTGCTGTTCACATTTGGGGGCACATAATGGCAGATAAACGTATCATATTTTTCTCTGACGATGCCGCCGTTGTTGACATTATTAATAGTCAGACGTCTAAACACCGTTTTATCATGGTGCTCCTAAGGGATTTAGTGCCAAGTTGCCTTAGACATTACATAATATTTCAAGCTCGCCATATTCCTGGGTTAATCAATTCTAGTGCCGATTACATCACGTTTCACGTTCCCAGGTAACAAAGTTCAAGGAAGTTCAAGTTCACCAGAAGGCGACCAGTTCCCGACCCCCATCCCCGAGAACCTATTGCCGAAGAGTTGGGTGCTAACTTGACAGGTCTACTAAATTCTACTCTCACAGCCAGCTCGCGGCGGCTGTATCAGCGTGCGTGGGTCGTTTTCCGCCAATTCTGTGCTCACTTGTACGGTTCAACCAATCCTCCTTTACCTTTACCCCCTACTTGTATCTCTCTTTTTATTTCTTATCTCTCGTTTCGTAAATTGGCGTGTTCCAGGATCAAATCATATCTTTCTGCCATTTCCTATGCACATAAGCTCAAAGGTTATAAGAGGCCCTGACTGTAAATATCGAGAATCCGCCGACAGTTGCAAAATTTCATAATTTATTTTATTCTACCTAAAAGACCCTTTTGGCGAACTATTTTCAAAAATGAAAATAAAAAGTTCCATCGCGCTTTGCTTTATCCGAAAAATCCAAAAGTTCAAATTACGCCGCGGTGGCCCCCGACCCCCCGGAAAAACAATGAAAAATTCTGCAACTTCGCTAACTCCGTACGCGACAACGCGTTGTATTCCTGGTTTGCTATTTTGGACATTGGTAAAAGGACCCTTTGTCTTTAAAAAGATGTAAACTTCATTTAATTTTGTCGACTTTAAGACAACATAAAAACCCGTTGAAATAACCCACTTTCAATCTTTTGGGTTGTGGTGAAATAAAGGCCAACTTTAAAGGCCTATAAAAATCTTAGTATATAAATTTACGTGTCATATTGTACATCAGGTGAAAGCTTTATCCTCGTAGGTCATTATCTTCAACTGTCGTTTTTGGCCCGCAAAAATTAGCGTATCCAGTTTGAAAAGAGTTTGGGCTATTTTGACCAAAAATTCAATGCAAATTGCTGAGCGGATGTCACGCAAGAGGTCACGGCCAATCCTTCAGTTTGCAAATAATGCATCTTTTTTCTCTTCTGATTGAAAATGTCAGCAAAGAGCGCCTTGAAGTACTTCAATGACCTTTCATTATATTTAACGATCATACAAGCACGCCACATATCATGTTATTAATCTTAGATTTAACCGAACAATAACGGTCGTCGATCGCGTTGATGCGTAGTCCAAAGAATTGCCCTAAAATTTGATTCACATACACAGCGAAACTTATTACAAAGTGGAAGAGAATAGGGTAGACTTACTAACTGTAGTTACTCTTGTTTTAGAATAACGCGGTGTAATCCGCGGAGCTCCATATATCTTACTCAATGTTTCACAGAAAAGGTCAACAAAACAGACTGAAAAAACAAATGATCAATGAAGATGTGCGTCCTTGCAGTTCTTGCTTACCGTAATTCGTTCATAAATGATAAAGCCAATCACTCAAATGATTTTCTTGCACGTAGAAAAAAAAATGAAGAAAGAGAAACCAATCGAGAGTCCCTCTCAAAGAATACCCGGGTACATCGGCTCTGGGATACCCCTAGACGAAGGACTTTTTTGAAAATTTTAGATAACCCGCACAGAATTCAAGCGACGGAAGTGATCCAAAAGAATTGCTATCAATCGATCATCCTTGTCACTTGAAAGGGGTTTACTACCGTGGACAAATAGAAGGAAGAGTTTCGCTGGTTGATAAGACGAAAGTTGACTCACTGCTACTAATTTCACAGTCCCCTTTAGCTGTAGAGGACTTAAATATGTCCTGTAGTCTCGGTTGGAACTGAACATCCATCTGGTCAATACCTGTTCTCCAGCCAACTCCGTAGGACGGTTACGTCACGTGATGTTAAAACACAAATCAGATTTGACATGTTTCTAAAATTTTACTCGACGCAATGGTACTAGTGCCGTTTCATAACAGTGTTGTTGATGGTTAAAAGAGAATTCTCAAACGAAAAATCCTGCTGAGAAAGTTGAAAAAAAGAAAGAACCTTACAACAACGAGAATGTCATGGAATGTGCAACTCTTTTGCGTGACATTCGTTTTGGAATGCGGTTTTTTGGTGAAAAATGTCTTAAGGTTTTCTTTTACTGTCGATTGGTTTCTCTTTTTTCGTTTTTTTTTTCCTACAAGCAAGAAAAATATTTGAGTGATTGGCTTTATCATTTTTGAACGAATTACGGTAAGCAAGAACTGCAAGGACGAACATCTTTATTGATCATTTGTTTTGTCAGTCTGTTTTGTTGACCTTTTCGGTGAAAAATTGAGTAAGATATATGGAGCTCCGTGGATTACACCGCGTTATTCTAAAACAAAAGTAACTACAGTTAGTAAGTCTACCCTATTCTCTTCAACTTTGTAATAAGTTTCGCTGTGTATGTGAATCAAATTTTAGGGCAATTTTTTGGACTACGCATCAACGCGATCGACGACCGTTCTCGTTCGGTTAGATCTAAGATTTATAACATGATATGTGGCGTGCTTGTATGATCGTTAAATATAATGAAAGGTCATTGAAGTACTTCAAGGCGCTCTTTGCTGACATTTTCAATCAGAAGAGAAAAAAGATGCATTATTTGCAAACTGAAGGATTGGCCTCTTGCGTGACATCGGCTCAGCAATTTGCATTGAATTTTTGGTCAAAATAGCCCAAACTCTTTTCAAACTGGATACGCTTATTTTTGCTGGCCAAAAACGACAGTTGGAGATAATGACCTACGAGGATAAAGCTTTCACCTGATGTACAATATGACACGTAAATTTATATACTAAGATTTTTATAGGCCTTTAAAGTTGGCCTTTATTTCACCACAACCTAAAAGATTGAAAGTGGGTTATTTCAACGGGTTTTTTTGTTGTCTTAAACTCGACAAAATTACATGAAGTTTACATTTTTTAAAAGACAAAGGGTCCTTTTACCAATATCCAAAATAACAACACGGGAATTCAACGCGTTGTCGCGTAAGGAGTTAGCTAAGTTGCACAATTTTTTATTGTTTTTCCGGGGGGTCGGGGGCCGCCGCGGCGTAATTTGAACTTTTGGATTTTTCGGATAAAGCAAAGCGCGATGGAACTTTTTATTTCCATTTTTAAAAATAGTTCACCAAAAGGGTCTTTTAGGTAGAATAAAATAAA